GACTTTTTTCCCCTTTACTAAACCGGATGGCACGTGATGCATCTGGCTCATGAGCCATGAATTTGACACCCTGTTCCAGTCAAACTCTCTACTCTAGCAGGAAACCCTATACCCTTTCAGACAAGTGGCAGTCCAGTCTCTTCTTAAAAACCTCCAATGGTCTTTGGTTTTCCAAGCTGTTTTGTGCATAAATCAGGCGTCTTCAGCCTCTAATGCTGATACAGGGCAAGGCGCCACAAGCAGGCAGTTACAGCCTGTCTACTTGTCTCACTGAGAATAGCTGCTTCAATCCTGACATGAGAAAGATAGGTGTGCTTATTTTAATTATGCCTTTGGGAAAAGATTCACTTCTGGTCACATATCCATGAGAAAGACGGTGTGGATTAAAACAAAAAAATATTAGATATTAAAAATTAAAATCTCAAACTACTCAGATGAAGCTATTTCATTTTGTGTGATGTGCTATAGGAGGGATTGAAGCAATTATAAAGCAATTATATCAGGATTAAATGTATTGCAGTTTAGAAACAGTGTTGCCAGCAAACATAGCTTTTGTGGGGCATTTGCAGTTGCTTCTCATTATGGAATTTATTTTGCACTCAAATTAATCTGGCTATATAGAGTCAGGTGTTGCCATTGAGAGATTGAATAATTGCATATCTGAAGTACAGAGATGGAGTGCCGTGTTTTCTTACAGCTCAGTTTCCCCAATCTGCATAGAGGAGCAAGAGAGGCCAAGGAAAAACCTTAGTTCTATGGCAGTCTTTAGGCTTTAAAAGAGAGCACATAGCTCAAGTTTCTAATCTGCTTTCTTGGATGTTTCCTGCATACCTTTGTCACCCGAATTCCCCATGGAGGCTGCAGGACAATGGCCCCTTTCGTAGCCCTTTATTTTTCCAATATTTTCCCCTCTCAAATCATATGCAGAGAGAAGGTACTGAACAGAAGCCAATCGTGACTGTCAACAGTGCTGCAGGGAGGCAACCCCAGAATGGGACAACTCACTGTATCCAACTTGCTGTGGGACTATTCAACAATTCAATTTAATTATTTAAACTAATTAAAAATTATTTTAATTTTTGTCATTCACATTTCAGCTTGCCCCTCCTTTTGCATCTTTTGTTTAATGACTCTATTCCACCACTTCTTTGATATTAGTGTAACTGTGTCCCACAGCAAGTTGGCCCATGGCAAGTTGGCCATGGTGAGTTGACCACTGCAAGTTAGCTGTGATGAGTTGGCCATGGCGTGTTCCATGGGGTGTGCTACCAGATATATCCTTGCCAAAGATGGCTTAAAGATGCAAACTGCGCCATATTTGTCTAGCCCTCTACAGCTCTTCCTCCAGCTGCTTGTGCACCCATTTGTTCCACATTATTTTTCTCCATTGGAAGGATAGAGCACAGTGTCTCCATCACTCTTAACATCTGCAATGAGGTGAAATGCATAAATGGAGCATGTGTTTCATGTCATTTCATGCTGCATAAAGAAGGGTCCAGATCATGAAAAACACTCATGTATTCAACCGTTCAGGTGTAGGTCCTTATCTGTGGATATTGTGCTGATTGTGCGACCATTTATGCTCTGTAAATAACAGCATATAAGCAACTGGAATGGAACTAATGGCTATGTCCCACTCCCTCACTTCTTTAGGTACCCAGGTGTAAATAAGGTATGAACAACTCCTGTTCCTCTTACAGGTAACCTCAACATACAAACATTATTGTTTCATCCACTGTTCAAGTTTACAACGCTGAAAAAAGTGATGTGACTGTTTTTCACATTTACAACATCCCTGTGACAAAAATTCAGGCGCTTGGCAACTAATATGTATTTATGACAGCTGCGGTGCCCCAAGTCATGTGATCACCTTTTGTGATCCTCTGACAAGCAACGTCAATGGGGAAGCCAGATTCACTTAACAACCATACTAACTTAACAGCTGCAAGGTCGCAGTGATTCAGTTATAGCAAGAAAGATTGTAAAATGGGGCAAAACTCACTTAGCGAATGTCTCAGTTAGCAACAGAAACGTGAGGCTCAATTGTGGTCATAAGTCAAAGACTATTTGTATATATAATAATATCTACTTAATATCCAAGGTCAGCTAACCAAGCGAGAGCTGAATAAGGATGTAGAGGAAATATCAAAAGCTTCGAGCAAACTAATATCATCTTGGTGAGTTCAGCTCTGAAAAAGTTTAAGGCCACTTTCCCAACTTGGGGAACTAAAACAAAAAGGAAGAATAAAAGGAAGCATAGTCTGGGAATTCTGCAAACTGAAGTATAATACATTGGGATGAGGACATATGGGAGGAGGAATCTATTAAATCTATTGCCTACCATACGTAGAGCCCACAAATAGATCACAAACAAATGCAGCTCCCCAAAAAATATTCTGTTAAAAGATTTATTATCTAATCAGAACAGCCAAAGGTACGCCATCTTGCCATCCTCCAAGCAAAAACTATTTATGTCTCTCAAATAAACAGTGGGTGAAATACAGATGAAAAATTACTTTGTGACCTCCCCTGAGGAATCCTTCGTGGGTCCCAATGTGGGAAGGCTGTCAACCTTTTGATCTGATAGGTCTTAGATCCAGCTTTTGCCAAAGCCTCCTTGCAAACACCGGTGTGCTAACCTCAGAAAAACAAACTAAGAATGGTTGGCTGCGATCCTAGTGGGGCTGAAAGCATTTGAGTCCTAGCCAGGCTGAACGGAGCATTTGGTTGGTGTTTTTAAAGAGCCCCTCAATTCATTAAGACTAGGAGTTGGCTAATGTTTCCCAGATTGGTCATCAGCCCAATGTACTTTTCTGCTATTGCTACTTATCCAAGGCAGAGTGAGGGAGAGACAGAGAGACAGAGAGAAATAGGAAACCTTGGAAAACATTTTTTTTTTTTGAAAGGGGAAAAAACATTGTTTGGCACTACTCTCAGTCTAATTTGCATTTCATTAAGGGAGATTGTGTTTGCCCAAACATTATTTGGTTCTGATCTCTTTCAACCACATAAATGGTTTCTTTTGCTTTAAAAAAAAACATTTAGGTGATGTGTTTGTTCCTTTGGGCACAAGTATTTATATTTACATTTCTTTACTGTTACATGAAGTAACAGACTCAGTGGTGTTCTGAATGTCAGACAAGTCTAAAGAACATGAACTGAACGTTTTTTATTCCAATCACAGCACTAAGAGAAATGTACATTTGGTTAAGTGTTTCTGATTGGGTTCATAAAAGTGCTTCACTTAACAAGAGCTCAGTGAGGGAGATGGGCGGTTCTTAACTAGGATAAATATGTGAAGTGAAATGTTTCCATTTTTATTCTTATCTTCTCCTGACTTTTGGAAGAGGGGTTCAGATGAGAAGGGAGTGTTAATGTTACTCTTTCTTTATGTCTTGGTCGTACTCTGCCCCAAGATCAATACATGTATGTCCTCGACTTACAATCATTTGTATAAGAACTGTTCGAAGTTATAATGGCACTGAAAAAGTGACACGGCTGTTTTTCATGCTTACGACATTGCAGCATCCCCATAGTCATGTGATCAAAATTCAGATGCTTGGCAACTGGCACATATTTATAATATTTGCTGTGTCCCATGTGATCACCTTTTGCAACCTTCTGACAAGCAAAGTCAATGCAGAATCCAACCCTAACCACCTTACTTACTTAACCGTTGCAGTGATTCACTTAAGAACTGTGGCAAAAAAAGGTCGTAAAATGAGGCAAAATTTATTGAGTGACAATCTTGCTTAGCAATGGAAATTTTGGGCTCAATTATGGTTGAGGGCTACCTGTAGACTGTATCAGAAGCATGTGATGTTGTAGTCCCCAGCTGGCATGTCTTCAGAATGAACGTCTATCCCCGAAATATATTAAGGAGTGGTAATCTTTTTATGCAATGATCAACGGTATTATGACAGAAAATAAAAAATAAAGAACACAAATTAAAAAGGGAACTGGAATCTCATGTGGTTCTGTCATTCTTGCCTGAATCTCGTGGTATCTGTGTAAAATTGCTTGAGATTGTGAAGATAATCAAACTTAAGAGTTGTTGGCTTTAGATGTTCTGCTGGCACCATCTAGGGCAGGGGGGCAAACAGAGCAGCCTGAAATATGCAGTCTGCCATTTTATTATTATCGTTATTATTATTATCGTTGTTATTATTATTATTATTATTATTATTATTATTATTATTATTATTCCTTTCTCAAATAGATAGGACAGAACATTTATTTAGTTTGGGGGAAATGGGAAGAATTTTAAGGAACTACTGATTGAGTGCTTCAATATTGGAAAGGTGTAAGGCATTCTTTTTTAAATCTTAACAGATAACAGATAATCAGAGTTGGAAGGGACCTTGTAGGTCATCTAGTCCAACCCCCAAGCGGGAGACCCTATACTATTTCTGACAAATGGGAGTCCAATCTCTTCTTGAAGGTCTCAAGTGATGGCGCTCCCACAACTTCCGAGGGCAAGCTGTTTCATTGGTTGATTGTTCTCACTATCAGAAAGTTTCTCCAAAACTTTCTCTTAAAACTTCTTAGCTCTATAAATATGGCCTGACAGATATCACATCTTTGGAGTGCAAGTTTCAACATACCATGCTATGGTCAGAATAGCTCTTGAGTTATTAGAAGTTCTCCAGATTGATCTCAGTTGATCCAGGAGATTTGGTGATCACATGCAGATATTCTCTGCTAAGTCTACCATATAAATGCAGAGGCCCAGTTATTATTGTCATCTCCATGAATAGGTGAGAAAGACTTAAACCTTCCCTCTCCAGGATATTGGTTCATAAAATTCCTTCCTTTTGTACTTATTTTTCAAATCAAGCAACTAGAGCGCACGCTTCCCCTTCTACTCAATACATGCAGAGAGGTTTTACCAGACTCAGGCATCTATATACTTCTGAAAAGTTAAACAACCATGACAGATAGTTGTATACTAAATATACATTGTATTGGATACATAGCAATGATATATAGGAAACACAGACCTTCTTCTGAATCCACTTCATTTCCTTCTGGGTAGATGCCACACTATTCAATATGCATGACATCAATTGGCTGGTTGAGAAAAAAAGAAAGGAAAAAAGAAGATTCTCTAACCACACAAAATAAAAGAAAATTATACTGAAAAAAATAAACATTGAGGGGTGAACTATTGTGAGCAATTATAGGCAAGTAGCAACAGTTTTACTGTTATACCACTCTGCTTCTCTCGTGCACCAAGTCTTTTTAGAATATTTAGAATACTAGTTTTTTTTAAAAAAAGTGATTAAAAACTAATACAGACTAATATAAAGCAACAAAAATAAAAAAGAAAGAAATCAAAGAGAAAGTAAAATGCAAGAAAGAAAAAATAGCAAAGAAAAAAAAGTATAATTATACATTATACAACATAACTCTCTTCTTTCTATAATCTGTCCTGACCAATCATCAAAATCATAAATCATATGTTCTTTTTTTTTTTCATTTTACACGAATAGTCTGTAAGGGGTTTCCAGCCAGCAATAAACATAGACTTTGTCTTTTCTCTGATCAAAGAACTCAATTTAGTCATCTCAACAAGTTCCATTAGTTTTCACCAATCATTAGGAAAATCTTTCCATCTTTGCACATTCTATACAATGATTGTATACATCATTGGTAGCCTAAGATAATATAGATTCTTTTAAAGTGTTAGTCCTTTCAGACAGTCCAGGCAGGAAACCAAAAAATGAATACTCATGCTACCTTTATTGTAAAGTTACAGAAACAGAACTTTGAAAGTTTGAAAGTGTTTTCTGCCTTTACTTTACAGATAAGTAGGAAGAGTTCCTTCTCCACCCCCATCGTTCAGATTTGGATGCAAATTTCTCTTATCAGACTGTTGTCTAGGCTAAATTCCTCCCTCCTGACTCCCAAGGTTATTTTCACATCCCATTACATAAATGATAAATGCGTGAGTTTCAGCCAGCTGGCTGAGACATCACTTCTAAAATGTGGTCTTCCTGAGAGGAAAACAGGGCCCAATAAAAAGGGGTTCAATCATGCAGCTATTGCTGCTGTCTTGGATTATTTTATAACTCTTTCTCTTGAAATATCCTTAGAGAAAAGGAACATCTGGAGCCTTATATACTCTCTGTGTTTGAGAGAAATGGCTTTGAGAATTAATCATGTAAATGAGGGATACCCCTACCAAAGAAAATCTCCAGAATTTGGATTTAAGTTGCTATTAAGCACAGCCAACATGGCCAATGGCAAAGGATTTGGGGAACTACAGTCTAAAACATGATGACCATTCTGTTACTTTCCCTCACTCTTTCACTTTACTGTCACCTCACAATTTTCATTATTTCCATGGTCCTCCTAGTCAGAATACCAAAACCCATTATCCTCTTATTTTTAATTGTCTTGCCCTTTCTCTTAGGCTTTCTCTTGCTCAGGTCCCTCAGATCCAAGTTGTGCTTGATTTGTGCAATAGGCAGAACAAGAAATACCATGTACAGCACCCTTTCCACTACCAAATGATTCCGCCCCAAGGATTTGTGTAGAAGTAGGAATTTTAAATATATTTTTTTCATTCCCTGAAGACGTGAGGGTAGAAAGACAAATACTTCCTCTTCTTGCTTACTGTGCAAAATTAAATGCACAGAGGAGGCAGCCAGATGATGTTACTGAAGAGTGTTCACCTCTCCTAGCTTTTTGCCATGGGCAGCCTGGGCGGTAACAGGAAACATAATATGCCAGGAATATTAAATTAATGCTATTATGTCTAGGCTGAGATGAAGAACATTCCACGGGAGTAAATAATCCTCAATATCCAGTTCAGGTAAATGATTTTTTAATCAGTGGGTTAATATAAAGACAAATGATCAATCCCAGGTATGCAGCCTTGGAGCTAGACAGGCAGTAGAGAAATTGGCTGTTAAGGCTTATGTCAGCAGCATTTAAAATAAAAAGTCAAGTAGGGTAGGGTAGTTCCATTGTTTTGCAAGCAACCAAAAGTCTAACTGGAATGGATGAACAGCCCTTGCCTTGTCAGACTGAAAGAGAGGCAATGTGGTACAATGGTAAGTACAGTAAGTAACGTTTGGTACAGCTATGGCACTCACAAAAGTTTTCAGTTGTGAAAATTGTGCTCTGGGTAAGTTATCACCATACCTGATCACGTGAACCTGATTTTCTAATGAAGACTTTAAAACTTTTGAAATGGATTCAATAATTCAGGATGGAAGAAGCAGTTTTGTAAAACGTTCCATCTTTCACAGAAAGATAAGCCAGAAACCTGGTTTTCCCAATTCTTCTCTCTGTTTCTGGTGGGAAAGGGGAAATTTGGTGGGATCTATTATGCCAAACTGCACAGTTCATTTCCTCACCAAATCAATTGACAAATTGAAGCATTAAAAAACACTTTGGGCTTGTTTTCTAAGAAGGAACAGTTGCATTTGCTTTTCAAGATATTCCCCTTTGTTTTGTTTCTATGAAAACTTGGCATGTGGTTGTCATACACGTAGATGTGAATCTTAATCACTGTTCTTCTGAATAAACCTCACTTGTGGGTATATGTGTGTTTCCTTTTTAATTGTATATTTCTGAAAGTTTCATTTGGTCTGTTATTGTCTGCTGTTTCTGAATCCTGACCTTTTATTTGAATTTGGAAACCCAGGCCCCTCTTGTTATTTGTGTATTTTCCTCCCTTTTTCAGAGAAAAGGCTATTTTTTTTTAAAGACCTGGGTGACATGATTTACTTCAAACAGATTATGGCTTTTATCAATTGCAGCCCTTTCGTCTTTTTTTTTTTTTTTTTTGCTCCTCTTCAGTTTACAACAGAAATGCTCAACAACATCAACTCGCTGTGCTCTTTCAGCAAATAAAGATTTTGAAAAGGTTAAAGAAAAAGAAGCAGCTGCTTTCTGACCATTTTCCTGAGAACCAACCATTTAAGACACTAAGAATAATCAAAGGGAATGTTCAGAGCTCTGCTTGTCTAATGACAGACATCTGGAGCCCAGAGGGAGGTCGAGGGATGCATGAGGGATGGGGAGAAGCCTCAGAAGACGGAGAGAAAATAAAAGTCATATTTCAGCTCACTGTAGCTCCTTTGGAATTTTGCCCATAAATCATAGCTTCAGCTTAACACATGTCTCTAATTGCAGGAATTGCTACATCTCAGCTACATCTTAGTTAGACTTTGGGACAAGAACCATTCTCAATTTACGAGTGGTTTATGGAAAGAGAAGCTGTAGAGGAAGGCAACTGGTTAACACTGATCCCCCTTTTCAGTGGCCTTTATCCTCTTTAATTTAATTTAAAGTTCCCTAACTTGCATGGCCTGGTTCAACACATGTGCAGCTTATTGGCAATACCCTTTGCCTCTAACATTTATTCCTGGCTTAGTAAGCATTTCCGTAACCTGTTTGCAATTGCTAGCAGTTTTAATAAAGTCTTTATTATTTCTACAGGTAGTCCTCGACTTAAGACCACAATTGAACTCAATATTTCTGTTACTAAGCAAGACAGTTATTAAGTGAATTTTGCCCAATTTTAGATCTTTCTTGCCACAGTTGTTAAGTGAATCACTGCAGTTGATATGTTAGTAATCTGGTTGTTAGGTGAATCTAGCTTCCCCATTGACTTTGCTTGTCAGAAGGTCACAAAAGATAATCACATGATACCGGGACACTACAACCGTCATAAATACATGCCAGTTGCCAAGCATCTGAATTTTGATCACATGACCATGGGGATACTGCAACAGTTATAAGTGTGAAAAACAGTCATAAGTCACTGATTTCAGTGGTATTGTAAATTCAAATGGTCACTAAATGAATGCTTTTAAGTCGAGGATTACCTGAATGCAAATTTCAGCTCTGTTCTTCTCCATTTCAAACTCTATTTAGGCTTTCGAAGACAAATGATCCCTCTTAATTTTCATGACACAATCCTTGCAACAAGTAAGAACCTCGAAGAATAGAATTTTTTTTCTATGTTCAGAAAGAACAAAATGGTAACCACAGCTGTGAAATATGATTTTAGAAGCTGATCCATACAAGTTTTTTTTCTCCCAGAAACATCATCTATGTATTCATAGGCACAGAGTCCTGAAACCTGACAAATTGTTCCAATTCTCCATGTACATTTTTAACCTGCAGGATTTGTTCAGGAGCTCCATAGCAACTCTACAAGCTATTTATATGTTCCTCATTTTAGTAATTCCAAAATAAACATCACCAGAATTTTGAATCCCTAAATCAGTGGAATGTTCTTTTCTAACTTTCTCCAGTATGTTTTACTTTTCTTACAATATCATCAAAGGCCAAATGAGATATGACGATGGTAGATTAAATCTTAATCTCAGATTTGCTGTCTTGTATTTTTTTAAAAAAACAGACAGTGGGAAGCTTCCTGATTTAAGTAAATGTGTGTATATCTGTGGTGGGATTCAAATGTTTTTACTACAGGTTCTGTGGGTGTGGCTTGGTGGGCGTGGCAGAGGAAGGATACTGTAAAATCTCCAGTCAGAAGTGATATTTGCTGGTTCTCCGAACTACTTAAAATGTCCACTACTGGTTCTCCAGAACTGGTCAGAGCCTGCTGAATACCACCTCTGGTGTATAGATGTATTCATAAAGTATTTTTAAGGAACTCAGGAATTCAGCCATCTCCTCTGTGTGTGACTCCATTTTCTTAGCAATGTCACTTTTCTTACTAGTTCCAGGCTGTTTCTTGAGCCTCCTTCAACAAAGATGTGGGATTTTTGTCTTGTGCAAATTTAATAGAACTAGCAAGATTTCGGTTTCAATTTCTTGCTGTGAATTTACTCATCTTTCCTCAAAATGTGGCGTAGATTTTGCTGCAAGGGTTTGTGAGCTGTTACCCCAAACTTGAATTTAAAAAATGAAAAAGGGTGAACTTAGTAAATTAAAACGTTCACATTTTGCTGACTATTGGTGAATATTATTCTATTCTATTAGAACAGAATAGAGCCAGTTTGATCTAGTGGTTAAGGCACCAAGCTAGAAAGTGAGAGCTCATGAGTTCAAATCCCACATTAGTCATGAAAACCAACAAGGTGAGCTTG